GCGGGGGTGGGGGTGGGGGTGTGGTACCAGGGATTAAACTTGGGCCCTTGCGCTTTTGAGGCAGGGAGAGGAACCACTGAGCCAAATCCCCAGCAAGAATGAATTCTAAGGAACTAAAGAGGTTAAGAGTAGGAAAATATATTGGGGAATAGGAATGGGGAATAAAAATAGCTCCTGAGAGACAGAAGGGGTCCTGAATGGGTTGGTTACCAAAGAGCCCACTTCTCTGAGAAAGTTTTATAGAGCAAAATCATGAGGTGGGTACAATATGGGTCACAACTATAATCAATCAATAAGATTACAAGTATAGCTGCTTGGCTAATATTGATCCAGTAGTAGCAAGGGCATATGGATGACATCGTTAGCCTTGATTGATAATTTATAGTCCTAGTATTGTCTTTACTCTTAGTCTTAGTAGTCTTAGTGGGTGGGAGAAGATAGTCCAACCTTAATGAGATAATGGTTTATTCATATGGGAAATCTCCAAAGGGTTGTGCCAATAATCTGAAGCTTCAGTTTATCCCTTAGGGATGTAAATCAGGCCACTGTGACTTTGATCTTTAGATATGCCTCTAGCCACCTTTCCGATATATTCTCCTCTTCTGCACTGACTCCCTGAAGGGCCCAGCCCTTTCTGACTGCCTATAATATTTCTACCTAATTTAGCTGTCTATAATAAGGATGTGTGGGTGTGGGTGTGTGAGTGTGGGGCTGGTTCTGTGTGGACTTTGGTCATGTGATGCACCAACTCAAGGAGAGTGGCTGAGAGTTTCGAGCCTGTCTTATGGGGACTTCTGAGCACATCTTAGGGGGATTTAGAGGCATGTTTCTTTCCCCCATAGACATACTGGTGAAGTCTGTGCCTCTTCATGGACACAGGCACATTCCAGCATGCATCTACTCCTCTGCGTGCCTCTGTGTCTTCTCAGTCATGAAAGCAGATATTCAGTAGCTGTTTGTACAATTTCTTTCTGACAGACATGGACTATATTTTCGATAGACCTGGAGGTGGGCCGCACAGTGTGCAGAAAAAATGAGGAAGATGCTGACAACTGCCCCCTGCATCAAGACCCAGGAAGATGAAATCACCCCAAACACTGGGTCTTCCAGGAACAGAAACAAGGAGGAAGGCCTGGGAGGAGGCCCAGAGTAGGGGATACTGGTTCCTGGTGCAGTGAGGGCCTGACCCCGCTTCGTATAACTAACTCCAGGACTCTGTGCTGGACACAGGGTCCCCTCAGGCAGCCAGGCTCTCAGACCCAGCCCTAGCCTTCCTGATGCCCTCAAGTCCAGTAAATTCCAATGTCCCTGGGTCTCCCCCGCCCCCACCATGTTTAGGGCTTGGGACTGTTTAATGCCTTTGCTCGCCAGCCTCTCCTTCTATTTTGGGGTTCTGAGGGCATTTCCTGTTGTGCAGGTTCTGACAGTGCCATCCTGTGATATAAACCTGGTCCACAGGGTTTCAGAGCCTGAGGATGGTTGTCCATCAGTCCCTGTCAAGTGTCCAGGGAAGCTCACGTGGGTTGGGGTGTGCTCTACTCAGTGGGGCACCCATAGGGCACCTCCCGATTCTCTCAGAGCCTTTAGGTCGGGACACTCATCTACAAGCTTGTGTGCAGGGAGGCTGGAAGGGGACAGTCTGTCTCAGGGGCAGTGGCAGCCTAGGAATTCCCCCAAGACTTGTGCTCAATGAGGCATGCAGCAGCCTTCACCCACTAGCCCAGCACCATTTGACATTTGTTTTAACCTTCCCTTTCTTCTTCTTCTGTTAAATTTGGTTTGTAACGCCCCTTCCAAATCTGCTGTGTGCTAAAGAGCTAAGCACATCCTGTTTTCCTCATTTCTATGCCGTATCTGGTTCTTTGCCTGGGCACCACCCATTCACTGTGGTTGCCTAGCAGGGTTCTCCCAGTTTGCCCTTCTCTACTGTGTGCAGGCCTAGGCCCCAAACTGGCCATTTCCTCTGGGAGCAACAGCCTACAGTCCCAGCTCTGTGCAGCTGTGGAGCAATTTAAGGCTTTTCCTACACTTCTGGGTCCCTGTGTAGTTGTGTGGCACTTCTGTCATTCACTTCCCAAGGATGTCACTTTCCGTGGCAGACACTGGGGACTCTATTGTCATTATCATTATCCTCTTAGCAGCAGGTGCCGGTGCCTAGGGGCCCATATGCTCAGGTCCTGTGAAGCAGCCCAGGAGTTCCTGCTGAGTGGCCATGTGCTCTTCACACATCCATTGCTCCTTCTGTCCGTCTGGTCATCCATCCACCCATCCATCCATCTGTCCACCCGTCCTTTCCTTCACATGCATACACATTCACTCATACACTCTCTGGAAACTTCCAACCCAGCATCCCTTCAGGAGAGTTACACACACCTTTCCCTGTAAGTGATTGAATCACAGAATAAAGGCAGAAGGGACACATTGAGAGAGGAGACCACCTCTCTGTATGGAATCGGACAACTATGAGTTAACTATGCTATTAGCAAAGTATGGGTCAACTAGATAACTGTCCTCTTTGTAGAATGTACCTGAGCATCCATGACAACTTCTGTAATCTATCATCAAAGGAGCGTAACGGACTCAGAAAATCCCAGCAGAACTCTTTGCTCTCCCCCTCTCCACTGCCTTGCTTTATGCAAATCCCATTTGCAATATTCCCAGGAAAATGCCAATGGAATTAAGCTTCATAGTTGTAAAAAGAGGTATATAAGGAAGCACAAACTTCTATTCGGGCCTCTTGAGATGGACAGAAGTCACTCACTTGTGATACAAGCCACCAGCATCATTAAAAGCTGCCTTTGTGTGAAAGAATGATCTGTGCTGGGGTCCTCACTGTTTCCTGCTTCACCTTGAAAACCCTAGAATTGTTAAACAAATATGATCTGTGTTCTGTGCCACTGCAGAGCACACATTCTTTTGATCCTATGGAAGATCTTCAGCACTGACTTCCTCGTGATTTATAAATCACATCTTCAGGAATTTCAAAGAGCAAGTGTTACACAGATAGATTGGGTTCTCTGACCACAGTAACACTGAGGTAGAAATTATGAAGATAAATGTTTGAAAAGTCAGTCACATGCCTTTAAATCACATGTGGGCTGGAGAGGTCACTGCCATGCAGGTTAGGATGGCTTTGTATATGTGTGTAATTCAGATCTTCTACAGGGTCATCAAGAGGGTGCATCTGACATCAGCTTCCAAGACGCGGTGTAGGCCTGGAGGTGCAGACAGCAGTGGCCAATGACCTAGGTTCTCTCTCAAGAACCAAGGAATTCCCAACTGGGCCTGGAGAAAAGAGGAGTATAACAAACATCCATAAGAAGAGAGAGAAGAGAGAGAGAGAGAGAGAGAGAGAGAGAG